GACTGGCTTTTTGTTAATGATTTACGACGCTGCCAATCTTGGTCCTTCTTCAGTTTTTATCGACAGCTTTTCATTATTTTTTTCGACAATCTTTCTTGCCTTTTTGTGCTGCTCGATAATTGGGTCGAGCATATAAATTTTGTTATAATAAATACTTATAAGTAGACATGACAAAATGCTGTCAATTAAATTAAGAATCTTGAGACATAAATTCAATTTATGTGAAAATTATACAATGGGAATTATGGCTGTGTAGTTTTTCGACTTGTTCTGATGAAAATGTAGACAGCAAAATGAAAGGAATTTCACGAAACATCCGAAAATGGACGATGAAAAAATGAGTTATGGATTTGAGTTGGAAAGTGAATGTTGTGTGAACTTTTTTGGTTGATTTGAAGAAGGATGGCGACTAACCAGGTATTAAGGGAGTTGAAGTTATATTGCGTTGACTTAAAAATTGCCCTAATACTAGCTTATAAGACCAGTAGCTTTCCTTAATTAAAAACTAATTTTAATGATGTCATGATTACACAAACTTCCAACTCATTTGATTTCCAAATAAATTAACTTAATTGTAAGAAGAATTAGGTGCCTAATTTCTAACAGAAGCACCATGTCTGTCATGTTCTGCTTACTCAATTCTCCTCCGTTCGTTTCAAGAAAAATTAATTGGGTCTAAAATCCTTGACGAAGGTCTTTATGAATAATTCTCATGAGCGTGGCGACAATGCCAATTTTTTTTATTATTTCTTTCCTTTTGGTCACAAATTTTTTAATATCCGCATGAAATGATGGGGATATGAAGAAGAATCAGACAGGTAAGACAGGTAAAAATGTTTATCAAGCTGGAACAGAGAAAAAAAAATCTCATGAATAATTTAAAATGTAAAGACGGTCAAGGACAGCAAACTATCATATAAAAGTCATGTCAAATGAAGATTAAGGAACAGTCAGTGCTTTACAAATTTCGTAAAAGTGATTTTGTTGGACACCTCGGTTCTTTCTTTCGCTCTCCCTTTTCATTTCAACTTTTTGATGTGTTTTTAATCTTTTGAAAGAACTTTTTCGGTCTGTTCTATTTCACTGTGCATTTCCATATAATCGCATTGCGGCTTTTGTCGAGCTCTTTGCATTTGAAACAAATTTTTATTACAAACATGTTTTTGTGGACGAGATGTGATGATTTTGTGTCGATTTGGGATGCGAGTGATTTTATATTGAGTTTGAGGATTGTAAGATTGTGACTAGTTTTGATGCGCTGCTTTAAAACTTAAGATAAATCAAATTGTGTTGCTTAACAGGAAGGATTTGGAAAGCTTAAGCTGATTTTAAGAATTGTGTAGACCAAGTGTGACTCAGAACCTTACTAAATGTCATTAGTTGCACATTTGATGTCTGGTCTCAAGAACTCAAGCGTACTTGTTCCGACATCGATCTTTATGCCGTCCCTAACTTTAAATTTGTTTCTCACAATTTTTTTTGATGAAAGCATTTCAGTTTAAAATTCATTTCACGAATAAAAAAATGTTGAAAGAGCGACTGCTAAAAGTGATTTGGTTGAGGCATGATTTTAATGGAGTTTTATTTTTGTATTAACATCAAATTCTAACCATAACCGGCCTTTTGTGGATTTCTGTTCTTTTCATACATTAAATGCATTTTTAGTTGCCTTTATGCCTTCTTTTCATTCAATAAAATAAGATTTTTTTCATTCAATGTGAAAAGAAATTTTGTTTATTATTATTATAACTTTATATTATATTTTTGAGGTATAAAATATTTTTTTTATGACTTACAACATCATAATCATCTCTCTTCCTTATGGCATTAAGTAAGATAAAAAAAAAAAAACATTTTGTGGCGTGCAAAGAATCTTTATTATGATGAAGATTCTCAATGTTTTTTCTTGTTCATATTTCATGCATAACAAGAATTGAATATTAAGTGAAAATATGAGCAGACTTAAATTGAATTTGATTTAATTGAGGTGGAATTTTTTTGGCGAAAACCAACGTAAATTGAGAATTTTTTGTGGCTTTTTTTCAGCAATGTAATAAATTTGTGTGGTGGGAATAAAAAAATAAAATATGTAAAGAATTATCTTGGGATATAACCTTGTGAATTTGCACGTAATTTAGGTTAACTGGTGTACTAGGAAGTTGATAATTTATGAAGTTTATGGACGCGCATTTCTGGTCGAACAAATAAGTTGAAAAATTGCTTTTGTTTGTTGATTTTTTAAAAGGTTTTAAATGATAAGAAAAGCATTAAAAAATAGTTTCAAGGTGCTCTGGAGTTTTGCATAAATGACAAGTGGAATTGCATAATTAAGTGAGATTGAAATCAATGAATGACGTGTCTGTGTGTTTATAAAAGAACTAGAAAGTAGAATCAAAGACAAAGCACCAATTTCTTAAAGCCAAAAACTGTTTCTCCAACACATAAGTCTTGGCTATGCACCTCTGGAGCATAGTATGTATAGCTTTATCGATTCCAATTATTTTTGTTTGTTGATTCTTCAACCCTAAGGATCACACCCCAATAATCATCAATATCCATATCTTTATCCATGTACATCTTAAATAAACAATGTTTCAATTAATTATTTCTGCAAATAATTCTGATGCACGTGTGCGCCTATAATTGAAAGATAAACAATCTTTTATTGATTTTTTCCAGTTCCTAAAATATTTTCTTACTCAGAATTTTACGATTGAGCTAATCGAATGCTTCCTAAAATCAATTAAATTTAATGACTTTCTGTAAAGTTAATAAAAATTAAAATAAATTTTCATCATAAAGATATTTTTTGCCATTCCTTTTTATTTTTCTCAATTGAGTGAAGTCTCTCACAATTTATCTTTGCAAAAAAAATAATGTTTATAGCTCTTTTTCATTTGATGTGCACAATTAACCCTTTAAACATCTCAAAATGTCGATTTACATTTCAATTTTTTTTTTCAATCATGTGTGGAAAATTCTATTCCATGCCGCTTTTGTGCTATTAAAAGAAGCGGAAATCACTCTGAGAAATGTCTGTCAACGGCAGAGAATCTTATGGAAAATATAAATTTAAATTTTTTTCATGTCGATTTCACTCACATATGACATGCGTTTATACTGGGAACTTGCTAGGCAGTCAAAAGGAGATAAGTGAAAATTTCAATTCAGAAAAAAAAAAAACTTTTCGTATTTTGAATTTTGCGAAATTGCGAGGAATGATTGGGATCGGAAATTAAATCAAAATAAATAATCAGTTGAAGTTTATTTGTGGAAATGAGCTTATTTGTTGTTGGGGTATTTAACACATGATTTGGATGAAGTGCATTAATTTGAATTTTTCTTTGTCCTTGTTTTGCCTGAATTTGTTGGTAAAGAGACTAGTTATGTACAAGGTTTAGTTCCATAGAACGTGTGTTCGAGTCCTACACTTGATCCTTTAGTTAAGATTATATTTACAATTGCAATGATACCAACAAGGAATCTGCGAATATTCTTAATTTGAAAACATAGCTAGTTTGGGCTATTACAGATTCAGATTCTAGCGCTATCTGAAGCATCCTACCCTAATATTAATTGAATTTATATCCTATATTGTAGTTCATCGATTTTAATTGTTCCTCAAAAAATTGGTCTCAGTTCCAGACTTTTCTCAAAACTTAATCGACGCAAAATCAAGTTCTCTCAATATTAGTTTATACAGCACCAATTCTCCTATTGAGAAAATTCACATTAAATAGCTCTATGGAGAGGAATTAATGGAAACTAATTTTTCATCATCACATAAAAGAATTTTCAATTTACTCGAACAGAAAATGCCAAACGACGTGCGGAAAGATAAGTCTTTGAAATTTCAAAAATTACTTCCCATGGTTTATTTTAAATTACAACATTTATTAACAAAATTCCGGAAGTTTTGTTGAAAAATCCTTGCGGTAAATGTGGCTCGTTAAACCCAAGCAGCTAAGGAACTGAAATATCTCGATGAAAAAGCAGTTACTATTTATTTTATATATAATTAAAGGAAACCTCATTGAACAATAAACAAATTGCTTGTCTTGTTTGAATTTTCACGCCCAAATGACGATGATTATTCATACAATGCGGTTTGCTTACAACACTTTTAGCATGTCCAATGAAAACATTCATTACAGTTTGTATGTCAATAGATGTAATTGTTTATACAATGCACATTATGTCAATGTCCGAGTTGATGATGAGAAACCATTAATCTTGTCATGGTGAAGTGATCGAATATAGAATGAAAAAGTGAAATTATATCACGCATTTACACTTGATCACGTAAAATTGAATTAGGAAATCATGTTTGTTGTTTTTGATGTCTAAATTTATTTGTTTTTGAATATTGTTGTTTTGATAGATATGCAGCTACGCTTTGAATGCTTTGTTTAATGATTATTATTCTGAAATATATTTTCTGGGAAGGTTGAATGAGTTTTAGAGAATTTGCTTAAATTTTGGATAAATTAGAATTCATTGACTAGATTTAAACTGAAACTTAATTTTGTTTTTACATCGAACTTGTTTAAAATCAGTGTTTCTTAGTCTATCCTCTGCAGATTTGTATTTGGGCCTGCCACATAGCAGTTGATAGTCATAACTGATTTCAAGCTCTGGACTAAAGGCTATTTTGTAATTTTTGCAAGCATGATACAATTTTTATCTCTCCTAAATCCATTGATAAATCGAGAAATCTATAAATAACAAAATATTGATAAGAATACAAAAATCTAAACTTCGCTCACGAGTTTAACGCCGGCTTACTCACAGCTGATAACTTATCAGTAATTCTCTCTATCACTGATATGGTCAAACTTTCCGTATATTTATCAAAATATCAAATTTATAAAGTTTCTTAAAACTTGCAGTTTATATAAATTATTTTAACAAAGTATCGTGTCAAAAAGTTTAAGCACCACTGGTCCTAATAAAAAAAATTATTAATTTTGCTCAATTGAAACTCAGTTTAGAGAAGATTTTTGATTAGTGAACATCATGGGGATTGTCACGACACTTGTAATCATATTATTTATTATATTTTTCCTAAATCGTTATTTCCTGAGCTATTGGAGACGACACAGAATTCCACAAAATGACAATCCTAATTTTTTAATTGGAGACATCAAAAAAATGTTCTCCGGGAAGTCAACTATTTATGATATTTTACACGACATCTACATGGAAAAGAAAGGCTCAAAAGTGTTTGGAATTTACTTGTCTTATCGTCCAGTCCTAGTCATAAATGATCCAGTGCTGATCCAAGATGTGCTTATAAAAGATTTCAATACGTTCCATGATCGAGGACTTCCAATAAATGAAGAAAAAGATATTCTTAGTGCTCATTTGTTCACACTTGGTGGTCAGAAATGGAGAGATTTAAGAGTCAAGTTGGGTCCAGTATTCTCATCTGGTAAATTGAAAGGCATGTACCCACTTATTCAAAATAGCGCTAAAGATCTTGAAAAGCATTTAATGGAAAATGTGAAGAAAGGAAACGACGTTTTTGAGTTCAGAGACTTATGTGCCAGACTTACAATCGATATAATATCATCTGTAGCATTTGGCGTAGACAGTCATTGCATCAATGACAAAAACAGTGCATTTAGAGATTTTGCTGGTAAAATATTTGAAAAATGTTTGAGGATGCTCGTCATTGGATCTCTTATGATATTTTGTCCAAAACTATTTAGCAAATTAAAGTTCAGATCAGTTCCTTTACAAAATGAATTATTCGTGACTGAAATGGTCAAAAATACTGTCGAATATCGTGAAAAGAATGACGTGAAGCGTAAAGATCTTATGCAACTTTTGATTCAGTTAAAAAATGATGGATATGTGTCAGTAGATAGAGATGAACAAACTGAAAAACAGCAACAGATAAGGAAGTTTACGATGAATGATATTGCAGCTCAATGTTATTTATTCTTTATCGGAGGTAAGCTTACTTTATGTCCATGAATCACTATTATAAGGATGGACTTTGCTTCTCTTGGCTTCACTAGCCTGCTGATGAAATTACAGCATATTAAATAAATCTTCAATTTCGCAGGTTTTGACACTTCAAGTTCAACTATGACTTTCTGTCTTTATGAATTTTGTAAGAATCAGGAAATCCAGTCTAAAGTTCACAGTGAAATTGACAAAATTTTAGAAAACTCCGAAGACGGCGACTTTTCATATGAAATGCTGAACGACATGAAATATCTTGAATGCTGCATCAACGAGTCTTTGAGGATATATCCAATTGCTCCACTTTTGATGCGTGAGACTAACAAAGACTATACATTTTCTGGTACAAACTTGACTGTAGAGAAGGACACGATGATACTTATTCCACTTCTTGGACTTCATCATGATCCTGACATATTTGAAAATCCTATGGAATTTAATCCTGATAGATTTTTGGACTCTCCAACTGGAAGTGGAAAGTCAAAGGGATCATTTTATTTGCCATTTGGAGATGGACCACGGTAAGCTTTATTGGAATATTTCTAGTACTGATGCTAATGTTTATTAATTCTACAGACGCTGCATTGGAGAACGAATGGGAAAAATTCAAGCTAAATTAGGACTTGCCACAATCTTATCGAAATTTCATGTTGAGTTTGCTGAAAAGCAAGTTGGTAATATTAAGTTTGATCCTACCAATCATTTCCTGTTGGCTACTGATCAGCCATTCAATTTTAAAATTACACCAAGATTTTAAAAAGTTTAAATGGCTGCAGCATTATTACAAAAAGTTTAAGTTTCTTAATTTCATTTAAGTGTTAATTTATAACTAAAAGACGTCCTTTGTTTGAAATAAAAAAGGTTTGTTAAGAGAAACTTTAAAATTTTCTCACTTTCCATTTTTCCTTCTTCATTTCTTTTATTCAATTTAATAACATTTTTCCTCTCTCAAAACTTTATCCTCAAAAAACCACCGTCTTATAGTTTGAAGCTCTTAAGCAACAAGAAGGAAAGCTTCTTAGTAAAAAGCACCACCATAAAACTTAATTTATTACATCACCCACAACAAGTTTCCTTCTTCATTTCAATGCAATAACTTCTTTTTTTTTGTCGTGTGGATGGAGAAGTTCAGCATAGAAACATAAGTTTCTTGAGACAGAAAAAAAGAAGAAAAAAACCTCAAGGGTGCATGGGAGGATGTCAGTTAAGTAAAAAAGTCATTACAACTTTTCCGTCAGTTTCATGTTCCTGAGACACAAAACTTAAAGTCATCTCTCCTATTTTTATCCCTTGCCATTCATTTCTTGAAATTTCTTGGTGTCTGAAATTATGACTTGGAAGATTTTTTGTTCCTTATTTCTTATTTGTTGTTTTGTTAAGCTAATCAGTTGATAAAATTAAGCTTTGGAAGAAGCTTTAGTGTTAACTGGTGACGCCTAAATACTGTCTCCTTAACTAAACATCCATAAAATTCATGCAAAACATCCACCAAGGACATAATGCAGTCAACCCAGAATAGACTCTATTCAAATTAATTTAAGAAGGATTATTTAGTTTCTTCATACATAATTTAGTGCATCTTGTACAAGTAAAACTTTTAATTCAGCAAATATTTATCAAACACATAAAACTTGACTGATGTCCTTATTGAAACATAAATTATCAGACATCTTGCATGTGTATGTGTTTGGTATGGCATGGAGATTATAAAGTTCTCCTTTATCAGAAAGTTTTATTTATTTGCCATAGTTGAAAACTTTAAGCTGTGATGCTGAGTTTTATTTTGGAAGAAGAAATTTGAAAAGTTTGTGCTTGAAACTTTTCTGTAATCTTGAAATTGATTATGTCTTACATAAATTATGGTCTTTAATTTTAGTCGAAAAAAAGTTTATTTCGAGAATTAATGTTTAAAAATAAGAAAATGCTAGACATGCTTCATTCCATAGACACATAAAAATTCCTATCTGTCCATCCAAAAGTCAGAGCGTACAGAAGTTAAGTTTATCATTGAACATATGATTTCACCACTTATTGTATATGTATCGATCATATTTTAATTCAATTTCAGATTTTTTTAATTTTTGATCCTGATTTATTGATTTTTCATCCACAATTCTTATTCTTGGTCTGCTTTTTAGTATTTCTTGAGGTATTCTTAATTTTTGAATGCTTCCAATCCTGTCATTCTTCTTACGTCTCAATCTTCTCAACATTTTTTTGCATAGACTCATTATTCCAAGAATTATTTCAAACAACGACAGAAGTGAAAATCCTAAAAATAATCCAGCAAGTCCACCAATATCAGAGATGAAATTCTGGACCCTATAAGTAACATAATTTGTTGTTTCGATGATTTCTGAGTCAATAAAGATAATCGACATCTTCGTATAGATAAATTCATCACTGGAATTAAAGCTGTGAAAAAAAAAAATGAAAATTACCAACACTGTTAAGGACATGATGACTTAAAAATACTTACTCAGATAATTTAATATCACGTGTATGCTCGTTCACAATCTCATATTTGATTTGCGTGCATTGAGGTAAGCAGTAGCAAGGAAAATCAATAACATCTCTCTTGATTTTTCGATTTTTATAGTAGCTATTTGGCCAGCTTTTTGAAATTGCTTTATAACATGCTAAGCTTCGTGCATCACATAACTTATCTTCATCAGTTCTCAGCAATGACAATTTGACACAGCCGCATTGTGTCAAAGTAAAGTTTCTCATGCATTCAAATTCACATTTTCTTTTCGAATAAGTTTTGAAAAATTGCAATTTTCTTTCATTTTCAAAGTAACAGCGTCGCTTTTCAGGTGAAAAGTCCTTCATAGATTCATCAAGAGTTTTCATCGCAGCCGATATTTGACTAATTTTATATGTATTAAGTTGAGCAACTGTAAAATGACTCATATGAGATGGAATATTGACTGGGAGATGAAGGTACACAAAATATGTTAAAGGATGATATTCACAAATATTTGGGACATCGATTTTCTTAATTTTTAAAGCAAACATGAGACTTTGTAGCTTTGCTGCTCTTAATGGTTGAATGTCATAGCTTTCTTTCAAGTATCCTTCATCGATTGAAAAAGTCAAATCTTCAGCATCTTCGTCGTCATCATGAAATTCTAGGTCTGTAGTTTTTGACCATGTTTTTGCGATTTTCTTGCGTTTATAAATGTCATATTCTGATGCTAAATTACCTTGAAACATTGAATTATATCCAACCATATTAAACGTATAGCAATATCCATATTCTGTCATTGACTGAATAAAAACATTTTCACATTTATGAGGAATTTCATCTACAGCACATTTTACGAATTCATCATTTATTTGATAGGATTGAGCATTTAATGTATTTAATATATCCTCATTGTAACTTTTATTACTGGATATCTTCTCAAAATGAAGAAAATCAGTCTGACAGACGTGAGCTGATCTAGCTAGCATTGTTTCAGCTTCAGAACTTAAAATCTTATTTTGCTTGACATCTTCACGAATTATTGATAAATTTGAATATTCCATCTTTATATTCAATGGGGAGCAAATCGTTATTGCTGGAAATGGAATGTCAAAACTTGGAATGTGCTTTTCATTGACCAAAATTTCAGGATTTGTTGTTAACTTCTCGTAACATCCTTTGACATAAAAACATAAACCAAAAAATGATGCACACAGAACAATAATCCATGAAAACTTTAAGATTTTTGATGTCTCGTGTTTTGTAATAGACATGAGGCTGTACCTTCCATCCATAGCTGTTGAATTTTTTAAAATTAAATTTCCAGGAATTACTAGCAATCGTTCTGCTCTCAGATATGTGTTGTCCTTTCTTATGAACCAATCAAACTAGAATAATTTGACTTTGTGTATCTAATAAGGCACGACAAACAAGATTATGCACAGAATTAACAATAATGGAATTTCCGTGTTATTAGTAAAAAGCAGTAATTATTTTTTAATAATAAATACGTTGATTGCATCTACAGGCTTAATTTTTAATTTATTATATCCAGGCAAAAAGTCCTGAGTACGGTCTGTATCTGTCTTTATATTTTGAATATCAGAGATTTTGCTAGGATAGATCGTTGCGGCGTGAGAATCATCGTGAGCTTTAAATAAGGACATGCTCTCCTTACCAGAAATAAGACAGTCACCAAGCATATCAATCAGGTCATGATAAAAAATCTTTTATTTCCTGTTTAAAATTTTCACTCTAATATTTCAAAAGGATTTCCAACAAAATTTATTCTTTCATCGTTGTCTTGGAACTTTTTTTGGACTGATGATATTATTGATATATTCTGTTCCGTTTTAAACTTAACTGGTTGCTTAATGTCTTCAAAATATTTAGAAGAATCAAAGTTTGAAATTTCAATAATGACGTCATTTAATTTGTTAATTTGTCTTTCCTTTAAGTCTTTCTTATCCTTTGCATCTACTTTATATTTCTCAGTCATTCTTTTGATGAACATGAATAGCTTAATCGTCAATTCAACAAGTGATAAAAGTGAGAATCCTAAGAATAATCCAGCAAGTCCACCAACATCAGCAATGAAATTTTGAATTCCATATGTCACATAATTTGTAGTTCTGATGACTTGTGAGTCGATGAAGAGCATTCGAAGTCCTGAAAATTTGTGTGTTGCTGTACTGGAATTTAAGAAATTTATGAAGCTATCAGGATCAATCACAGATAAATGTCTTACCTTGCACCACGCATGTCACGAGCATGTTCACTAATTATGTTATACTTGATCTGCGTACACGGTGACAAACAGCTGCATGGTAAATTTAATAAATTTTCAACTTTTCTGATTCTATTGTCTTTGTAATAGCTGGTCGGCCAGTTCTTCAAAATTTCTGAATAACACTTGACATCCTCAACCTGACAAACTTTTTCATCTTCTGTTCGAGGCATTGAGTGCTTTACACATCCACATTTGAGGAGTGTGAAGTTTGTCATGCATTCATATTCGCAGTTATTCTTAGTGTATGCCTTGAAAAATCTTAAATGCTTCTCATTCTTAAGAAAACAGCCACGCTTTGCAGGTGCAAAACTCTTTAATGAGGCACCAATATTTTTCACATTTGCATTAATCCTTGTAAGCTTTAAGCTTTCAATTTCAGTAACAGTATAGCTGTGCATCATTGATGGAATCTCATTTGGTAAATGGAAGAGCACTCGATACAAATCAAATGGTCCAGTACAAATGTTTGAGGCATCTGATCTGTTGACTTTTATTCGAACTAATAAATATTGTAATTTTGTGGATCTTAGAGGTTGGTGATCTTCACTTCCTGGATATCCATCTTCAAGTGTCCATGTTTCTTCTTGATCTTCATAATCATCATGATGAAATTCGATTTCTGCATCATTTGACCAATTCTTGACAATCTTTTTACGTTTGTATGCTTCAAAGTCACTGCTTATGTCATCATTGAATAATGAGTTATAACCCATTAAATTAAATGAAAAGCAGAAACCAAAGTCTGTATAAGTTCTGATAAATATATTTTCACAGCCATTGAATTCATTGACTTCACACTTTGCAAAAGTATCGGATATAGACGGTGCTGCTCTGTTCATATTTTCAATGACTTTTTCGTCAAAGTTTTTACTTTTCAGGAATTCAAGTTGTAGATTCACTATCGATTGCTGGTCGTTGTTTACACACGTGTGGATTGATGAAGGTATGAGTAGCTTATCCTCATCTTTTACTGTCCTGTTATTCTGTAAATCACTATGCAGTTTTGAGACATTTAAAAATTCAGATTTGATATAAATTGGCGGGCAAATTGTAATGGCTGGAAATGGAATAGTGTAGCTGTGGATGTATTCTTCATTGACTAAAATTTCTGGTGATATTTTTAACTTTGAGTAGCACACTTTGATATAGAATCCTAATCCGAATAAGGATGAAGATAAAACGATGATCCATAAAACTTTGATGACTTTTGATCCTTCTTTTGTTGTAAGAACTTTGATTCCAGAATGTTCTAGCATTTTTCATAATTATTTCGTTTTAATGGGAATTGCTTCATGTTAACGCCATTTTCGTGGATTTGTAGATTTATGAGTCATTCAAGTAGGATTTAAGTTCAATACAATATCCAAATGTGATTGAGAAATTTTTAAAAATCTCACAAAGTTCCATTTCAATATGATTCGAAACTGATCTAATGCTCAACTAAGTCGTGAGTTTGAAAAATTATAATTCTTTTAAAAATAAAGGCTGACTATCTGTTTTGCTTCACATAGGACTGAATCTATTCTCTTACCATCGAGTCTAGAGTTTCTACAACGATATACAAATCCAACTGGACTTAATCATGCCAAAATTTCAGAAAAACAGAAATCCTGGAATAAAATCTAGTCATGCTGGTTATAAACTTCAATATAACCAATGAAAAATGTGCATGATAGTAAATAATTCGAGTCGAAAGCTGTATGAAAATTGCCACTTAATCAAATTAGAAATAATTCACTTTCTTTGTCAACACAAAAGGATTTAAATATTTTATTGAGTCTGTTGTTTTACAATATTATTAGAATGGCTTGTGCTGGGACTATAAATGCCATTGCTAGACTTTTCCAACAGGGGAAGGTGGTTTACAACAGTTCTGAGCTACTTCAATCTAACATGAATATGAATTCAACACTGAATCTCCACAAAGACTGTCCTGTGATGTTACATCAAAGATTCAAGAAGACACAAATTCCAATTTCTTCAACAAAAAATAATTTTTTAGCAATCATCATCAAACCAAACTCTTCATGCGTTCATTCATTCCCAACCGCTGCTTCTGTAGCTTCTCATCATTGATTTATTTTCTACATACTCATGAGTTTTTAATGTTAATAATTCAAATCAATATTTGTCGATTGTTCTCAAATAACATCTGAATACGTTATAGTGTGCATTCACATCATAACATATTTCAAATATTTAAGCTTAACCGAAAGAGAAAGAGGAGAAAGACATAGAAAGAAAGGAAAAAATTCAATTAAAGTCAAACATCGCTTTGCTCACTCTTTGCATATTGTTTGGATCAGGGTTGGTGTGACTGTGATATGAGGGAACAAAAAGGTAATGATGTAGCAAAATAGAGTCTGGTATGTCAAGTCACATATAAAAAAACATGTTGGCTTAAGAGTAAAGTCTACAAAGACACTAGATGCTGATTTCTAGGGTCACCTGGGGTTCTCTTAGATAGGAATAATGTTCTATGTTCTATGTTCTATAATATTTTTGTTCCTCTCTAGCATTTCACAGCTATTGCCATTCAACCCTAACAACCCTGACTAAGATTGTTGTTCTTGTGTATTTAGCTTTGTACATACTGTATGTACATCGATATAATGCCTCAAGGGAATTGAAAGAAAAGAAAAAGAGATTGAAATAAACTTTAACTTATTTTAATGTTTTAGTTTGCATCGGCAGAAGAGTAAATAAGATGAAGAAGTTTTTAGTGTGTGGCATGGATGAATGGATGAGACAGATGTTTAACTTTAAAGTTTTTTTCTTCTTCTTCTTTAATTTACTTAAGAACATCTCTCTTGTCTTGTATGCCATTATTATTTGCTGTTTTAAAACATCATCATGTGCTTTCATTCGCTCATGCTTGACATTCATGTGTTATGTTAAATTACATATTTTTCTTAATTCATTGCAGTTTCAAATTTCAAGAAGTTTTGCTTTTTATCTTGTTTGAGTTCATAAAAAAAGTTTTATTTTATTTGTTTTTCCTCCTGAAAGTTTTTTGTGTGTAAATCTTGCAGTTTTATGAGACGAGAACATGTTTAATTTGAGGAATAAATATCATCAGCCATTAATGACACTGCATGAGGAATTAGTGGTTCTAGCTCACTAGACTCACTGAAATGCCTTTTCAAGTCCACACAAGTCTCTATTAACTCCTTAGTCAAGTCTATGCTTTCTCGCTATCGGGATCGGGATCGGGATTTCCCGGGATTTACCGATCCCGATCAATCCCGGGATCCCGAAATTTATCGGGATCGGGATTGAAAATCCCGGTTTTTTAGTTTAGGAAATTATTGATGTTTTAGAACCTGCTAAATATGAAGGAACAATTAACTTTTTGCTAGACGAATTGTTGCTACAAGGAACATTAAGGTTTAACTCAAAAGGTTTACGATATGAATTGCGCTCGCATAGGTGTACGAAGAAATGGAACATTAATTGACTTAATACTTTACCTCAATATATTTCTTTAGACAAGCATTTTAAATCGTCAACAAAAGCTGCAATACATAAACTTGGCAATGACTTATTGAAGAAGTATTTTGTCAAAAACTCTACAAATGGAGCTATGGAAGCTTCAACATCCAGTGCAAATCAAATCCAACCGTCAAACATTTCTATTCGAGATAGACTGAAACTAAGCATATCTGAATATACATCATTAACAACAGATGCAGCAGCAACAGAACCAAATAACTTGAAAAGAGAGTTTAATTGGTATGACAAAAATAAGAAGAGAACCGTTTTGTTAGATCAACTTTACGATGCATTGATAACAATGCAGCCGACCTCAACTCAAAGCGAACGAAATTTCTCTATTAGTAACAACATTCTTACAAAACAAAGAAAACGTTTACTTGACAAGAATCTAAATGCAATTGCATTTGTTAAAAGTTTTTTCATTGATGCTTAATTTTTATTATTATATTCACACCGTTTTCTTTAACCTTTAAACTTACATCTTTATCAACATTTATTTTCTATTTTTGTTTATGCTCACATTTTTCAAAGGAAACATGGATTAAAACTCTACCTTGTAACACATAAAGTATAACTAATTAATTAAGGAATAAATGACCGTATAAGTAGCAAAAAAATATATAATTTTTTTTTGGGAAAAAAGCAGAAAAATGCTGTTTTTTAAATTTTTTTACATATTCGGGATTCCCGGGATTTCCCGGGAAATCCCGAAAAATTTCAATCCCGATCCCGATCCCGAAAATTTGTCGGGACCGGGATTTCGAGAAAGCATAGTCAAGTCTACCTTTTGTACTTCTTGGATTACCTCCAACCAATCAAACATCATTAGAGAAAAATCCACGCTTTTTAAAAAAAAGTGAAATGCTAAGTACGCGACACCTGAAGGCATTTATTTCTTTCTCCTTCATCTCATCTTCATATCAAATGAAAGTCTTGAATGGCACTTGAATCATTATCACGTGAGTTGACTGATTAAATCAAGTGGAACTGCCTTTCTTTTTCATCAAATTAAGAAGCTACCGCACATTCTCTTCGTTTTGTTTATATTGCCACTATTGCATGCAATTGTACTTTATAATTTTGTTGTTGTTACTGTATACCGCATATTTCGGTATTTTTGGTTAATCGCCTTCATTGCATACGTCAGTGGGAAGATTTGCTTTCTTCTTCAACTTCAATGTTGTTGATTTGTTAGACATTTTGGGATGTTCGAGAGTGTTTTTGAATTTGAGATTGCTGGCTGAGTTGATTGGGAAGAAATGTGAATTTTTGAGTAAATTAGAGTCGAGTTTAGAATCAAATGAGTCTATTTGCAGTGTCTTAAAAGGGTTTAGGCTCATACAGCTGACATTACATAAGGGGCCATTCACTTATTACGTAACGCTTTTAGGGGGAGGGGGGGGTCTAAGATTTTGTTACGATTCAAACAAGGAAATTTTTTTTTCATACAAATTTTGTTACGAGGGGGGGGGGGGGTCTAAGAAGTCATTTTTTCGCGTTACGTAATAAGTGAACAGCCCCTAACAGAAAACCTTTAAATGCGTTCCAAAAAAAATCATACCGAACATCAACAATACTTAAACTCTGAAGGATGAATCCAAAATTGTCGACATGAATGACTTTAAATTGTGTGTGAAAAGAAACATTTTTCTGCTGAGTTAATTGTTTATAATTTGTTGTGTAGATTTAATCTTGCGGTCACTAATTGAATGTTTGTTTTGCATTTTTTTTGTCTTCTTTGTATTGCTGAAGGATTTAAAGATTAATTTTATTTTTGAAAGTTCGCTTGATGACATTTGTGAATGAAAGATATTTTTTAACGTCAAATTTGTAAATGAGAGCTTTTTGGAGCTGAAAATTAATTTAAAAAAAATATAAAGACTTGCTGTTGTTGCTGAAATGGTTTGAAAAATTGGTAACTTTTTATCTTTTGATCAAATTTTTTGCCATAAGTATGTAAAGCACTCAAGTGCATATGTGCTACTAAACTGAGAACTGAAGGTCCTACTCTTGGCTGTAGAAATTTCAAGTTCATTTGAATAATTTTTAAATTAGGTACACAAATTATATGTTGCGTAATGGGACCAGCTTACTTGCTGTTAATTATTTAATGTCGTCAAATTATCAAGCAAGTTTTTGAGGAATTTTTGTAATGTTTTATAAAATTTTAGAGGCTAATGAATTGATAACTCTTGACTGCCAATCAAACCCAGAGGTTCAAATTTGACATTAAAGTTTGTTGCTTACATTTTGTTATCTAAGCTATCAAGACATAGCTAAGTTCTTTAACAATAACAACTCGATAAGGTTCATCTGGACATCCTTTCAAGTACCACAATTTGCATTTATCAAAGGAACTCATTTGTATTTTAGATATGTCAGTTCCAAGAGCCAACCACCTTATAAATATCTTTAACACCGTTATTAAGTGACATTTACTAATGCACCGGATCAATTACTGCAAACATTAAGATTCAATTTGCACAAAAAAAATTTATATCGAGCATTAAACATTATTGCAGGAATTCACATGCAATCCCTGATGCAATCTTAATCCAAGAACTTACAACATTCCAAGATAATCTTGAACTCGAAATATCAATTTCTTCCAAAAAAAATAACAATCCCCGTTACTTAAAATAATCGCGAGTTTCGTACGTAATTATAGCAATATTCCTACCATATATAAATTTCAGCTTCCATTTCATCGTTATCTCATTTCCTTAATCCATTTTTAAAATCAATAAAAACTCGCCGTATT